TTGTTTGAAATACAACTGACAGTAGTTGAATGAAGTGTTAGTGCAGCTCATTAAGATTTTGCATTCAAGTAATTAGAAAGCAAAACTTCCAGCCTCATTGAGCTGAAGTAATAAAACTTTGCACGATTTTAAATGTTCTTTTCTTCCTTTGGATTTCACAATTAAATGGAACTAAAATGAGCAGATAGGAGTGGATGATGTATATCCAGCTATTTTAACTGGAGCTCAGAAAAAACTGACCTCCTTCTTCTTACTTCCTACAATAGCTGCTGCCAGGCGACAGGTCTGTACTTGAACTGAGCAGAACATATTCTTCTCTTGCAATAATGGAATCTGTGCCAGCCCAAACCACCTTGCAACCTGAAGCAAAGCCCCGACCTTCCCACCCCTCCCCCTCCCCCAGAGGCGAAAGCTTAGTCTTGCTGCACCTCTCAGGCACTGGTTCCTTCCTTTGCCGGTTCCTCCTTCGCCATCTTACACGGCAGGGCAAGCTCTGAATTGAGTACTGGCTGTCTCTGCCAACTATAGGTGTGCCATTCCTCTTGAGATGTATCATTCACTTCCTAAAATGGAGCAGTTCAGACATTTTGGTTTCTTCTCTGCCGTAGTCTTTGGTGGAATGAATGGCCCCACATATTTATCGAGCAGCTGGTTTCCTGCCTGAAAAATTGAAGATAGATCAGATAACTGTGCCTTTTGGTTTACGCTGTTTAACGCAGTTGGCGAAATAGCAGCCTGTTATATTTCTTTCAGATATTCCAGGGAAGCTGCCTTTCCCACATAAATAATTATGAACTGGAAAGGAAGAAGAATAGAATTCTACTATGTCTTTCCCACCTCCTTTGACATGGAGCATGAGAAGGAAGGCGCTGGAGTCACTTGTCCTTTTTGGGGTTTTTTCTTTTTTTGCTGCTTCTCTAGAACCTTTGTGAGTTTTTCTGTAAAGATGGGACCTAATTGATTTAACAGAACAAATGAAGCTAAGCTAACATCTTCATGGAGTGTTTCTTACAACTAGGCCTCACATCAATTTATCTTATAACGCCATGAGAGTTTGAGGTTAAATATGGGAAACTTACATTTTGAAATCTATTTGTCATTCTCACAGTTGCTTCTTTCTACCTTATTCTGCTTTGACCTTGAACGCTCCACACAAAAACACAAAAGCAAACAAAAATAAACTATTTCTGGTGTATTGAAGTAAGGTCGAAGGGTTATTGGGCAAATTAAATCTGTTCATTTCAGTCAGGTTTGGTGGATAGTATAAATGCTCAGTTTTGAAATTTGATGAATTATTTGATCATTACTTGGCTGTTTAACATCCAGTTATTTAGGAAAAGGATGGTACATATTTTTTTTTAATCTGATCTAAATGAAAATATGTTAAGCATCACCTTTTTTTATTCACTGTGGACTACATTGTGCCCATTTAGGAGTACGGTAATAGCTAATTTGTGTGAATAACTGAGACTGAAATGCCTTGCACACAAAATCCAGCCTTTAAGAGCCAAGGACTGGAAAATAATTTGTCAGATTACAGAAATTTAGGACCTGCTCTTTTAGAAACTATAGTGTTGCCTTTTAAGACGTATCTACATTCAAATTGCTTGGAGAAACAAAGTTACAAGCACGTCTGGCTACTCATGAGAACATGGTAAGCTTACGTTCTCTACCAGAGGTCTCCCCTCCAGCTGTTTTCCCTACTTAAGGTGGGTGCTACTTTTAAGTAACTGCACACCTGTGTAGGACAAGCTTGTACAAGAAAGGATTCCGAATAGACTTCACATTGTGTGGATAGTACAATTAAAATCAAATAGTGTTTGCTTCTTTCTTTTAATTCGGATAGGGGGGTCATTCAAATGTAGAATGGTTTCTTGTACCCTTTCTGCTGGGATTGGTGGCACTCCAAATAATTCATTCACATCTGTTTTTTTTTACGATGACAACAACAAAAGGTTCATTCTACAGGGGTTTTTTTTCTCTGATAGAAGAAAATTTTCATGTGCATGCATGATGAGTTGCCTAAAAATTAATTTACTGGCTTTGTTTAAAATATGTAAACCTGATCTAGTGACCACATCAGGTGGGGAAAGTCTGCTATAGAATAAAACCACTGGTAGAGATGTTGCAGCCAAGCTGTTGCCTCTTAATTCTCCAGCATCCTGTAGTTGAGAGAGGTATGTTATATAGACTTGCTTTGAATTCCCTTTCCCTAGAAGCCAGGCTAGTGCCAATATGATCTGCCTTCGGTGCCAAAGGTGAAGCTTTCAATCTTGCATTCAGGTCTTGGCATCCATAGCCCAACCATGGCTTTACCAGTCCCTTATATGCCTCTCTATCAGTGTTACTATGATTGTTATTGTCTCATTTATTTTTACTTATTTTATCTTACTCTTTAGTTGGAATAGTGGGCAGATTATTAATATTTTGAACAAAATTAACATGGACTTTCACTGTAAAGTTGAGTCCTGGGCATCTGTACTGACACACATTTGTACTGCTCACTAGGAAATGGCAGGTTGCAGAGATCCTTTTTTAAAATTTAATTTAATTTTTTATCCTGCCTTTATTCATTTTTTTTTATTAATAACTCAAGGTGGCAAACATATACTTCTTCCTCCTCCTATTTTTCCCACAACAACAATGCTGTGAGGTGAGTTGGGCTGAGAGAGAGTGACTGGCCAAATTCACCCAGCCAGCTTTCATGCCTAAGGCAGGCACAGAACCCCCAGTCTCCTGGTTTCTAGCCTGGTACCTTAACCACTAGTCCATGCTGGCTTTTTCAATGGAATTAAGCTTTTTCTGTAATACACCAATATAAAATATTACCACTTCCATGCAGGTGGAAATGGCTTTGTCCAGTAAGCACAAACATGCTACTAGGAATACTTGCATTTCATTCCATCTCCAATTTTTCTCTTTTAATGGCAAGTAACTAAATTATTAATGGCTAACTTGATTTCTCTGTGGAGGAAAGAAATTATTTATCTTGCTGTTCCTTTACAAGTGGAAAAACTATTTAAGTGACATGCTGACATAACTAAAACCAGAGTGGAAATATACAATCAAACAATATAGATAAGATAGCTCTGTGCATGTGTTCCTCTGAAGAACATTATACAGGGAGGCCCAAAGGGAATAGACAGTTACCACTGCACAGTAGCTATCTAAAGTTGTCTTGCTGCCCTGTGGCAGTTACCTTGAGTGATTTGTGCAAAGCAGTTCTTAGTCACTGGCTACTTCAGCAAGGTCTGGGGGTATAAAATACTTTTGGTATGAAATACATGAGGACAAAGATATGGTGGGGATTAGGCCTAATATTCTCAGTATGAGGAAAAAGACCATTATTTAGCAAAGATATTGGGTATGTTTTACTTCATCCTTTATTTGTAGGAACGTAATGTTAAAAAGCTTCAAATGGCTCTTTAGATTAGATGTTGGAAACTTGTGGCCCTCAAGTTGTTGCTAAACTCCTAGAATATCCTCCACTGTTGGCTGTGTTTCTGAAAGGGGTTTTCATTCTTCCTAACATTTTCTTCTCATAATCTATATTATAAAGTGGTAGACTTCGGTAGGGATTTTAAGAGATTGGTTGGCCATTTTCTGAGAATGTTATTGTAATGAAGCTGTTCCAGTGTGGAAGAACTGGACTGTATAGCTTTTAAGGCTCCATGGCTTTATGTTTCATCTTCAATTGATCTAATGCTGTTAAAGAATTTCACCACACAATTACTTGAGGAAATAGGACAAATTTTGGCAAAGTTTTGGATGATATTTAATGGTAGCAGTATAGGAACTACTTCTTGTAAGTTATCCCAGGATCGTGTTGAAGGAGCCCATCTTCATCAGAATTTAAGATCCATCATCATATAGAAGGGCTAACCGCATGGGTCCCTGCTCCAGAAATAAACCCATGAAAATTGATTGCTCTTGGGCTTCTTTGATGTATAAAAAAGTCTCAGGATGCAGAGAATGAAAGGAGAACTGTCACAGAAAACCCACACACAGATATATGTATGGTTCTGAATCCTACAAATGCCTGGCTTCTATGCATTTTTTTTTTTTTTTACTATAATCCAAGAGTGGGTACTATAGAAATCTTTAATCAAAGAATGCTGTTAACTACTAAAATGGATTTTGCTGCCACATGGAGTCTGTTGGGTTTCCCTATTCTAGGTTGAAAGGGCAGGGTATAGTTAGGAGGTTTGTATGAAAAACAAATTATATTACATAATCCACAACAGAGGTTTCTAGCAGTTTTAGAAATTCACTGAGCAAAAAAATGCCAGATTGAAATAATATCTGAACAGTTAGGCATATTTTAATAATTTGGATGCAAGTTGGAGGTGCTCAATTTTGTGAGTGACAAATAAGTGTTTGTCACAAATAGCTAGGCATGGCCATTTTTTGTTTCATTCTGATGTTAGCCTCTGATTACACTCGCTTTTGACTCTGGCATTAGATATCTCATCCAAAGCCAAATGCAAAAAAGGTCTTTGCTATAGAGTTTCTGCAAGTAGAATAATTTTAGTTATTCTTCACTGTGGCTATGGAGCAACCTTCATTTTGTAGCCTATAGCATGCAAAGTGAAATTTGAATGGCTGGAGGCAGGAGTAGGGTTGATTTTTTTTAAAAAAAATGTTGGAATCAACATGGTGGTTCAGTTGGCTTATTTTCCGATCTAACTGTGTACGAGCATTTACATTCCCTATTATGTGCATCCACAATAAACCCAACAGGCCCTCTTTTGGGAAGAGCCCAGCTCTTGCCAGAAAGGAGTACAGATGTGCTATGTTTCCATGCAAAGACGATGAGAGGGGCAATATAAAATCTTTTACCAGTGCACTCTATCCAGCATAATGATAGGCTTTTAATTAGTATTTAGTCAAGTCTGTTCAATTAGCTGAATGTAGGCATTTAATTAGTATTTAGTCATGTTGTCTGTTCAATTAGCTGAATGTGCTCTAAAATATATATATATTGATTTTCCATTCTGAAGCAACCAATGGACATCAGTCTCCCTCCTGAAGACCTGGATTCATCTGGAGATGATGACGATTCATTTTCTGGTTCTGGTGCAGGTATGCTTAGTTCTCTGCGTGTTCGGTTGTAAACAAAACTCTTGCTTAAATGTTAACATAGGGAATTAACATTTGCTGCCATTAGAGCAATGATGACTACCAGTTCAGAAAATTTGAAAAGGGACTAAATAAATTCACACAGGATAAGGCTACCAGTAGCTGAATTTCTCTATGGTTGTATACAACCTTATAAATCAGAGTTGTACAACCTGAGGCCCTGGGCCATATTTGCTCTTGAGTCATAATAGAGTATGAAACTCCTAGAAATCCCCATAGATGCTATCTAGCTGCAGTTTTTTAATGTGATAGAATGGAAGGTTATTAAATAGAAGGTTGGAGAGAAAATATATTAACTATAATGTAAGTGCTAAATGAAATCAAATTGAGTCTGGTACTGCCCACAGTCCAGAAAAGGTGATGCATCTCTGTCTTTGTAGAGGACATAGGGAATTGCTTTAAAGGACAGGAGAAGAGCTCTACCAAGGCAATGGTCAGACAAGAAGGACTTGAGCCTGGGCCAAGATACAGAGAAAACTTCTCAGACAGGCCCCTCCCTAGTTCACACAAAGATAACATGAGGCAAGGGGGGAAGCACATTCAGAGTTGCAAGATTCTGCTACTATAACTGTTACAATAAAAGTAATCTTGACCTGCAAGGCATTGGTTTCTTAGTCTAGTCTATCTTATATTGCTGACAGTCCATAAATCAAAGGCAGCATCCCTTAAAACTGAGCTGCTAGGAAGGAATAGTGGGAAAGGACCACCATCCTCATATCCTTTTGTAAGCTTTCTGGAGGCATCTGGGTGGCCATTGTAACATAGAAGGGTGGGCTAGGTAGGCGTTGCTTTATCCAGCAGGTCTCCTTTTAGCAAATAGATGTTCCTATTGCAAAGACTTGTAATCTGTCTTACAGGAGAAGAGAGGTGTTTCTGTGGTAGTGGTAAGGAATATTATGATGACCTCAAGTGGGGCTATTAAAAATATGGGGTGGAATTCTTCAGACTCTTGATCTATTTGGCCAAGGTTTCTTTTACTGTAGTATTATACATTACTTTTGAATACTTGCTAAAATTAATTTTGATGTTAGGTCCTTTGATAGAGCATCCTGTGATTGCCTTGAATGTTCCAGTACAAGAAAGCGCAAATACCTCTCTGATGCCTGAAGTGTCTACCAACTTGAGAGATACCCAAACCAAGGTTCAAGTAATAGATAGCCCTGTGGAAGATAATTCAGGAGCACCTGTGTCTACAACAAACATATCTGGGTTTCCAGTTACTGATCTGGTATCCAAGGAGGCACCAGTAGTTTTTGGAGATAAAGAGGTGGACTCATTTATTGAGCGAGAAACAACAAAGCCTACCGTGTTAACAACAAGAGTCCCAATAATGCATCATATTTCCACAGTCAGAATTACAACTTCTCGTGCTGCTAGCACAGTCAGAGTAATTGATGACCATGATACTCATAGCATATCTAATATTGACAAAATGCCTGCTGTTGACATTGTGCCAGAGAGTGAGAAAAATCTGAATATCACCACACCCTCTACAGTGTCTTCTACTGTCTTAATGGATAGCTCTCCTCTGCCTGAAAAAGACATCTTTTCTGAAGATGGATCTGGTGATCAGGTAAGCATAAAATAAATTATTTACATAAATATGTTGGAGTACAAAACTTTGGAATGCCTTTACTAGTACTTTTGTTTTAGTTTCTGATAAGCATTATGATTTAACTATTTCAGATATAGACTTTGAAACATGTGACACAATGCATGGATGTAATTAAAATGTGGGTGCTTTAAAACATAACATAAATTATGCCTCATTCTTCCATACAGGGAGACTTTATATTTCCACAACTTGATGAAAATCTAATAAACGTAAAGGACCCTGAAGCAGACAATAGAGCAATCAATACAAAAGCAAAGGATGCAAAATCTGAAGGAGCCCCGCAAGGATTAATGGACAGGAAAGAAGTACTAGGAGGTATGTCTATGTTCTTGGGTGTATTAGGACTGTGCAGCACTTCAGATTTAATTCCAAAAATATATTTTGGAGGCTGCAGAGAGACACAAACATGCCACCTATCTACAACTCTTTAAAGCAGCTGTTTTTCCCCAAGGTCATGCAGCTGCCCCCTCCCCCTCAAATCTTCCACATGACCCTGAGAGAAGACACCATTGTTTTAAAGAGTTGCAGACATGTGCGAGCCCTGAAACCCTTTTTGGGAATTGAAACAGCTCTAGTATGTATAGATATCAAAAGTCATATATATACATTTTGTTATGCACCAGTCCTCTGTATAAATTTCATACGCATGTTCAACTCAGGTTACGTTCATGGCTGAACTGCCAACGCTGTTTTCTGTGTAATATTAATTGCTTTATATTAACATCGGTAATGAACATTATTTGTGGCAGAATCTGACAGTTACTGGAGGGCATTACTGCAGAATTAAAGATGCTTGGAGCCAGCTGGTCTTGTTCATGGATCTTAAGGCCAGAACCTGGAATCAAGTAGCTGAATGGCTCAGATAAAGGTGTGTGCAAAAAGAAAGCACACACCTTTAGGCAACCAGGTTCTTTGTAGAGCCAATTAAAATATAGGACTGATGATGTGAGTGTCCTTTTTTTCTCTTTTTTTGCAATGAAGAGGGGTCCAGCAATCATTTCTTTCTGCCACCCATCCATAGTTCTTTATGTTGTTCCATTTATAGTGCACTTTTCCTTAGAGAACTCTGTTTCCTTCATACCACTAACTTTGTTCCATTGCACACTGAAGTGTCTTGAAGCTTCATTTAAGATTACTTCTAGAAATATGTCAAGTATTTTGAAATCAGAACATTTTGCACACTCCTAATAACGTCAGGTTTCTCCAATTTTTTTAGGTGGTTGGCATGCTTGCTATTGTGAAAGACTATTGTGGGTGCTATGCCACAAATGAATATTCTTATTTATAACAATACATTTACAGCTTCCCTAATAGCATGGCAAACCATGAACCAGAAGTCATGTGAGGCAGAGAAATTGGTGGCTGCTGAAGGAAATGTTCATAGATATTAGGTTGGGGACCCCAGGATTATTTTTAAGGATCCTAAAGATGTGCACAAAAGACATAGGTCAACTGAAAATACTTTTACCATAAGCAGCTTCTGCTTTTGAGGGCATGGGGGAAAAAAAGATGGCTGTTTAGATTGCTTCATCTGTCGAATTCCATATATACAATTTTCTTGATGATATCCTTTGAGACTTAAGAAGCAAGAATCTCTCTTGGAGGTTAGAACAACTTCTCTTTCTACTTTAGTTCTGGCTTGAAAATGTAAATGTCTTCCTTTCCTTTCCCACAGGGGTCATCGCTGGTGGACTTGTAGGCTTACTATTTGCTGGATTCCTAGTTGGGTTCATGCTATATAGAATGAAGAAAAAAGATGAAGGAAGTTATTCACTGGATGAGCCAAAGCAGTCAAATGGAGGCTATCAAAAACCACATAAACAAGAAGAATTCTATGCATGAACAAACTGAACTAAAACTAAAGACAGTTTTCTTATCTCTGGACATCATGAGTTCTCGCTGCGTTTTAAAAGGGGGGAAAACTAAAAGCCATAAGACTGAGTTTAAGCCTCTGCCTCCTTGTCATTGGGAACTATAATTTCTCCAAAGTCAATCTGGATTAATAAACACCCTACCTGCTTTCTTGCACAAAGATTACCTGTAAAGTGGGACTTCCTATCTTGTCTAAAGACTCCTAGGGGAAGATAAGGAATCAACTGTATATAGTCTTGATGTCTTATGAAAGCACCAAGGAATTCATATGGTACAATGTGTGTGTTATCAAAGATACCCCCACCCCCCCCCCC